CCTTCAGGAAACTGCTGAGAAGCGTCGAAGACGGACAGGTGGACGTACAAGCAGCAGGGGACGGTGATTGAATTGTGGGAGTCCATATTGCGTTCGGCAGAGAGAGTAGTGAGAAAGAAGGTGGTACGATGTGGGGTATCGGTTAAGTGGTGGGATGACGAGCTGAACGAAGAAATAGGGGAACGTGGAGAAGTCTTCAAGCAGTACCTGAGTGAGGCGTCTGAGGAGAGTTGGGAAAAGTACAGGGCCAAGAGAAAACAGGTGAAGGGACTAGTGAAAAAGAAGAAAAAGTGTATTTGGGACGAAGTAGTGCAGAAGGCCAACGGAGGCCTGGAGGGAAACGTCAAGCAGATGTGGGAAGGGATTAGTGGAATGGTAAAAAAGACCGCGCAAGGGGGGGATACATGGGTAGCAACTTTGCGAGGTGTGAACGGTGGATTAGTCAGCAGTGGGAAGGGAAAAAGGGAAGTTCTAGCAGGACACTACAAGAGACTTGGAGTGCCCTCGGAGAATGAAGCTTTTGACCAAGTGTTTAAGAAGGAGGTGGACGCATGGGCCCAAAAAGAAGAAGAGACATCGAAGGCAGACGTTGGGAACGTAGAACTAGAAAAGGACTTCACTGAGAACGAGGTTGAGGCGTGTGTGAACAAGCTGAAGTGGCACAAGGCAGCACGAGCGGATGGGATAGTCAACGAGTTCATGAAGTTTGGGGGGAAGGGGATGATCCAGCTGATGGTACTGCTATACAATTGGGTGTGGAAAAACGAGTATACGCCAAGTAGATGGAGGGAAGGAGTGGTTGTGAACTTGTTTAAGAAAGGAGACAAGACTGACCCAGGAAACTACAGGGGGATCACACTGTTGAACACAGTAGGAAAAGTGTTCTGTAAGCTGCTGAACGATAGGATAGTGGGAGTATTGGAGAAGGAACATAGCATTAGTGAGGGCCAGGCAGGTTTCCGCAAGAAGAGGGGGTGCGTAGACCACGTGTTCACGGTAGGGAGAATCATCCAAGGTAGAAAGAGGGCGGGAAAGCCGACGTACTGCTTCTTCCTACACGTGAAACAGGCATACGACACCGTATGGCGAAATGGGTGGTGGAAACAACTGTCCAAATACGGGATCAAGGGGAAAATGTGGAGAGTGCTGAAGAAGATGACAG